CTCCTGCTCCTCCAAGTGAAAATGGAGTCTGACACTCTCCTGCTCTCCTGCTCCTCCTCCGTGTTGAAGCAGTTCAAAGTCCAGTTCCATAAAAATGAACTGGTTCATGTTCACAGTTCATGTTTTATTGGATCATATATTTAMTTAATAATTGATGTAGGATCATGAATCCAGATCTTCACTTTCACACTGAGTCCTGACTGTGAGCGTCTCATGTTACTGAGCTGTAAAATGTTGACTGGTCATTTTTCATGATGTTTAAATGAACTGATCAGCAGAGGTGACAAAAGTACTCACATTCTTTACTTGAGTAAAAGTACAGATACTTGTGTAAACAAAGGCTCTAGTAAAAGTAGAAGTACTGATTCAACTCCTTTACTCAAGTAAAAGTAAGAAAGTACAGGCTCTGAAATGTACTTAAGTCCAAAAGTAAAAATGAATTTTGAACTTCAATGATACACAATGCCTGTTTCTCTGCAAAGACAAAAAGTTGTAGACAAACAAAACAGGATAGTTTCCTCTGTTGTTAACAACCTGCACAGAGCTGGTCCAGAGAGAAAACAAATCACCGGACACAGTTTGGTTTTGCTGCCAAATTTCAGACAGAATAATAAAGAGTGAACTGAACCGAGGTCCTGCATGAGCACCTGGATCATTCTGTACAGGGAACTAATGGATGGGGGATGTGTTCACGTGAAGTCCCTGCTCTTTGTGCACACCGCCCGTCCTACTACTGATTGGATGCTTTGGTGAGGTCCTCGGATCAGACCCGCCAGAGTCGTCTAAATAAATACTCAAGTAAAGTACAGAGACCTGAAAAATCTACTACAGTAACAAAGTATTTGTACATCGTTACTTCCCACCTCTGCTGATGAGGTCCTGATCACTAGTGATGAGTGTTTATGAGTTAAAGTGAGAGCAGCTCAGAGTGGAGGAGGAAACAGAAACTCCAAGTGAACGGACTCTGCTCCTCTTATCTAATCTCAACCTGTGAGTCACTGTGAGTGGGTGGGGGCGGGGCCTGTATCTGATTCTGGAGTCACTGGTAATGGGCGTGGCCAGTGGCTCCGCATCACGAAATTCAGTAAACACCTGCCACCGATTTGATTAATGCAACAGGAAGTCGGCCATTTTAGATTTAGTGGCCATTTTGGCCATTTTACACGTTGTGTAATTTCACGAACTCGTCCAAGAGCTTAGCTAGAACGACCTACATCAAATACTGATTACTCGCCATCAAAACACGAGGTCGTTGTATCTTTGACATACATGGTCCAATCTCCTCCAAACTGGACATGTAAGACAAGAGTCCCCTACACAGAAATCATGACTTCAAATCACAGCGCCCCCTGGTGGCAACAGGAAATGTCACTTTGATTAATTCCTCCTTGTCCATTGACCGCAACCATGTTAAACTTTGTCAGAGGGGCCTCAAGACGTCGATGATGTAGTCATATGGAAACTGTCAATTTTCGTTGAACACCGTGTTAGTAGCCTGGCGTCAAATTTCAATGACTTGCCTTGACAAACAAAAATGCTGTAACTTGTGTACATTGTTACATCTCCACAGTCCCGCCCTGATCAGATAGATATGTCAATATTGACTCATCGTCACAGCGCCCCCTGGTGGCAACAAGAAGTGACATGTTTTATACTGTGATGCACTGCTCCTGGCTGCTGTACAATATACGAGCGCAGACAAATCAAAAGACCTTCATAGTCAGAATTATGACTTTTCCTTAAACCGTGTGACGCTGAGCCGTGACGAAGGTCGATGCTTGATGATGTAAAATCAAGATGTTTGAGCTGCAGTTGCAAGTTTTAATCACTAGAGGGCAGTGTGAGTGGGACTGGTTTCATAGAGCTTCCTCCTCAGAGCTGAAGAGAATTTTTTCTCTCCTGTAATTCAGGTTGATAACGTGTTGAAAACTCTATTAAACTTACTGATGTGTGTCAATTAATGTTGAGAGACAACTTTGGTTCATTTGTAAAAGTAAAATGAGCTGTGAAAGTTTATTTGGTTTCTCTGTTTCTTTCTTGCGGTTTCTGAAATGTGAACAACACGGAGCCGCTTTGCTCGGTCCAGTTCCACTCGTTGCCACGCGGCTGCATCCGGCCCCACAGGTTCAGGTCATAAATGGCTTAAACACGGATAGAAATGTTTTCCGCTACAAAATAGTTTCCCACCACACTTAGTAATTGTTTCCAGGACAGAGGCCTGCAGCCGTCAGAGTGATTGTTAGTTTTTTATGTGTCTCTGTGTCCATTTTACCGTGAACATAAAAACAACACGTTGACTTTTAAAGAGTAAAGTTTAAGAACTTTTCACAGTTTCAGTGAACTGCTCGTTTATTTAGTTGTTACATGTTGCCACCACAAGGTGTCGCTGTAGTATCTGAATTATTATTCCATTAACGCTTCGCGGGTCGCGGGGAGGTTTGTCCCTGTGCATTTTCCGTAGTTGTAGCAGAAACATGGCGTCGGACAGTGACAGCGACGAGGACTTCGTGACTTTCGGGACTCCGCTGGAGCCTCTGGAGGAAGGTACGGGGAATTGAACCCCTCGGTGGTCTGCCCGCCTGCACCCGCACACCGCCCCGAGGTTCAGTGAGGAAATAAAACCGCTGCGACGTTTCCAGCGTCACTAAAACATGATGCTAAGCTAACTAGCAGGTGGCTAACAGCAGTCTGCGCTGTTCGCTCCGCTCCTGTTTGTAAACCAGACTTCATTCATTATTC